TTTTGCTCTTGTTTTAATCTTCATAGAGTTTTTGCTCTATTATACTACTTGAGAGAGCATTCAAGAACATTCATTCAAGTGCGTCAAAGAGAGCTTTTGGCTCTACCTTTATACAGAGCTTTTTTTCTGGTTTTACTCACTCATAGAGCCTCTGTTCGGACATCAATATTCATCCATATACAAGCTTCCATAGCTGAACCAGAGTGAACTTCAGAAAGCATTTAGTGAGCCTTTGCTGAACTTTTGTTCTAGTATTTCATCAGAGCTTTTGTTTTGCATTTTCCTCATCATCTCTCATACATTTCATACTTAGAGTTTGAGCTTCACTTGATTTCATATATACTCTATTGTGAGGTTTGATTTGTATCAGTTCTTGAGAGGATTTCTTGTACTACAAATTCTATCTACAAATCTGTTGTGAGCTTAGGAGGAAGAGTTTCTCTTAGCAAAGAAATTGTAAGGGCTGGTGTGGCCTATGTAAAACTAAGAGAGGTGGTCTCTTAGTAAGGATACTGTAAAGGGTTGGTGTGACCCAAAAGGAAGCCTAGGAGAAGGGTGTTCTCCTAGCAAGAAAGAGAAGCAAGGTCTTGCTTCAATTGAAGGTTTGCTCTCCACCATTAAGGAGAAGCTCTAAGGAATTTGGGAAGTCTCAAAAAAGATCTTGAGCTGAGGAGTAGGAGTTTCCGAACCTCGCAAAAATCGCCGTGTTATTGTTTGCAATTTCTCTTCCTTTATCTCTTTTACAGTTGTGCTAAATTGATTACTTTCATATCTTGTTTATTGCATAATTAGTTATACTATTGATTAGAAATTGTATTTCTATAATTTGTAAAATTGGCCATTGACTCTATTCACCCCCCTCTAGAGTCAATTCTTGGGTAACAGGACCATACATATCACTCATCATTCATATGGTCCTATATCCATTAGCAATAGATTATGTACTTCATTCATATATAATTGAGACATGAAGTCATTGCTAAGGAATGAGTTAGTTCAAGCTTGCATATGCTTAGAAAGAACTCATCACTTGTGCTAGAAATGTTAAGACCATGCATATCAATCACATGATTCATATTAGTCAACGATTAAGGTATGAGAAGCCGTCATTACCATAAGTTGGTAACGGATTTAGCTAAGTGTGAAAAATGGATTTTTGAAGAAAATAGTTTTCCAAGATAATTTTTCTCGGTAATTACTCCTTACACTTCATATAACCAAAACTGATTTTATGGGATTTTATGACCAAGTCTACATTGGTCTACATAAGGATTCATTTTTACTAAAACTGTTAGAAATTCAAATTTGTACTAAAACTGAATTTTTACATTTGAATTTAGTTGGATTTCAATTTTTTTATATTTTTTATTGAATCCAAATGGGGGATAGTTCCTTATTTACATTGTAAACTTAAAGTAAATGGACATATAAATATTGTAAAGACATTATTCACTTTATGCTTTTGCAGTTTCTTACCCATGCGTATACTAACATATTGATTGTACTCTAGTTGTATTGAATTGTTTTTATCTTGAAGTCAACATCTACATTGTCTATGAAAGGGGCATACATAATGCATATACTTCCAAGTTAGAAGTCTGTCCAATGCATAGAATTTTTCTGCCCAATGCATATACTTCCAAGTTAGAAGTACTGATGTGTCTTAATCTTGAAGGGGGTTTTACAACGGCTATTTGACTAAGGAAGAGGTCTATATATGCTAAGATAAGTTGTCTGCAAAGGGTGTGCTTGAGCCTCAATAAACAGAGCTGAGAGAGCCATTTTCGTAAATCCAAGAGAGTTTTTGCTCTACATTCTACAGAGCTCTTGTTCTGGTATTACTTTTTGATTGAGCTCTTGTTCTGAACAATCAATCATCTTCTCCTACAGAAGCTTGCATAGCCAAAATAGAGAGAGAGATGCTACGAATTTCTTGAGCAATTTCAGACATTCATTCAGAGCTTTTGTTCTGAGATTTACACTAAGATACAGAGTTGTTGTTCTGTAATTATTTCTCTCATATACATCATACTTAGAGAATGAGCTTCACTTGTATTCATCGATTTTCTAAAATAAGCTAAAATTTGTAAATCAGTGCTGAGAGAGAGAAACTTGTAACACTTATTCATTTCTGTTGTAAGCCTAAGAGAATGAGTTCTCTTAGCAAAGCTATTGTAAGGGCTAGTGTGGCCTATGGAAAACTAAGAGATGTGATCTCTTAGTAAGGATATTGTAAAGGCTGGTTTGGCCCAAAGGAAGACTAAAAGAGGTTGTCTCTTAGCAAGAAGAAGTAAGGAGTTGCTTCTAATTGAGGTTTGCTTTCCACCAGTAAGGAGGAGCAATAGTGGATTGGAAAGTCTCAAGAAGGGTCTTGAGCCGAAGAGTAGAAGTTTCTGAATCTCGCTAAAATCTTCGTGTCTATGTTTGCAATTTCTCTTTCCTTATCTCCCTTTATAATTGTGCTATCTAATTGCTGAATTCTTATCATCATTATTGCACAATTACTATACGTTACTTGCTGGATATTGAAATTGTGTATACTGAAAATCAGCCACTGCTTGCAACTACATTAATCTACTGATTTTGTTTAGCACATAATTGTCAAATAGAAATTGCATCTTGCTCATTTACTTAGTGGCGACATAAATTACATTATAAAATCAAGTTATTGGATTACAATTGATTACCCAAAATTTCTTCTCCACAAATTCACATTAGTTAAAGAATATGATAATATATCCCTCATTCATCTTCCACAAAGTAAAGATAATTAGGGATAATCATACATAAATCCTTACTACCTAATAATTTTAATAAAACCTTATCACATTGATAAAATTTTATCTCTTGAACAATTATCTTCCAACAACAATATCAAGTGCAAACACCCGTATCTTATTCAAAACTCTCTCTCTCTCCACATAATAACTACCACATTACAGCTTTAAACAAAGTGTAACAACCCTGCCATTAGCATCACTCTAATAGTGACATCCCATTAAAATACCCGCCAAGTCATCGCCACATAATTTGCCAAAATGGATGTCGATGTAATAAGGTGTGGATTGTTTTAACATAGTCAATCAACATATTTAATTAGTCAAATTGGTAGATTGACAAGATTAAGGACTATGAATTCATTAACTTCGAGGTTTATTCAGAAGAGTTGTGTAATGTCTTGATTATTGAAGACGATATACAATTGAAATGTATTTTGCGTAGGGATAAGTGCAGAAAACACCTCTGAAGTATATTTTTCGTAACACTTTTACCCCCTATTTGAAAGAGTGTGCAATAAACACCCTTAATCTTTTAATATTGTGCAAAATTATCCCTCTGTCATAAATCTGAGTTATAATACCTCTTTTGCCCTTTTATTCTCCCCAAAATGCCCATGCAATCATCCTCTTCACTGCAATCATCCTCTGCCGGTCTCCACTGCTGATCCAAACATGTGAGTGAATATTGTTAAGTTATTCTTTATTATTGCTTCCATAAATCAAAATTCAGACAATATAAAGAATGTATCAATCCCTATACCGAGGTTCTTTCTCTTCTCTCACTCGACGCGAACGGCCGCTCCTCCTCCTTACGCTTTATAGAAATGGATTTGGTTTAGGGGTCGTGTGACCAGTACTCCTGGATTGGTCTAATTGCAGACGTGACCCTCTTGGTTTGACTCTTGCTTCTTCTATTCGTGCTTCTTCAACATTGCGAAGGAAACCCATATATATTGAGAGGGATTAGCCCTAATATTGCTACCAGAACATGAATGCTTGGGATGAGGAAGACTGTCCCACCCCTCCTATCTAATTAAAGATGAGTCATCTTTTGAAAAAATTTCCTCAATTTCCCTCATAAGTGATTAGACTAGTCATCCATCTTTGATAGGAACCATTGGCATCATATAGTATGCAATTTACTTGATTTATGCTTATGTCTGACCTTCAACCAAAGAGAGATAGTGAATCAGATTATGAACTATTATTGCTCTTTCAAGTGACAATAAACCATGCTCCATCATCCGAGGATGGTGGGGTTGTGGTGATTATTGACTAATTTTTGGGTTATGGCATTAATTGATTCTGGTGTTGGGTTGTGAAGAGAAGATGGGGTAGTTGTTGAAGATGAATTATAGAGAGAAAGGATAGAATAAATAAATAAATAAACGAATCTCACATGGGTCTTTTTGGTCTTTTTACAAAAAAAAAAATTATTTTTATATATTTTATAAAATTATTTAATAAGGGTAATTTGATCAATTTAGATTTTAAATATGTCAAGGGGACCTAATTGCACCAAATTGAAACTTGACGGGTGTTTTTCGCACGTGAGAGATGTAATTTGCACTACAAGCATACTTCAGGGTGTTCTCTGCACTTGACCCATTTTGCGTAAGACGAACACTCAATAGCCTCTAGTAAGATAATTTATTATAAACCTAAGAAATTTATATGACCAGCTAAATAGTCGGGTTTGTGTACTGCTTGGTATGTGTCATGCTTTTTGGTTGGGTAACAAACAAATTTTAGTTTTGGGTATGCAATTGAAACGGCACTGGCTTCTGGTAAGTAATTTTATAGCATGGTTTGTGTACCGCTAGGTATGTTCGATACTTATTATGAGCTGATAAATTTAAGCTATTTGGGATAAATTGCTTCGGGTAGTACATGGAACATAACAGAAAAATTAAGGGGTCTGTTTGCCAGTAGTGTCTATTTTGCGTTTTCAATCACAGAAGCTGTACTTTTATTGTGCTTTGATTTATTCTAAAGTACAAACTTGTTTACAAACTGCCATTTCTCAAGAAGGATTTGAGCTCTGTTGCTGTTAGCCTCCTACTCAAATAATATGTATCAAGCAGCCAATTCGAAAGACTTGTCTTGGCATAAGCCTGCCACGCTTTCTGTGTCACTTTTTTGGGTGCCGGCTGGGCCAACTACAATCCATGCCCTCGGTTACCGGGCATCATTTAAAGTACCACCACTATGTAACTCACATTAATTTTAAAGTCATATATATATATATATATATGTAAATAGTACCACTATAATTCAACATATCTTGTGAAAGATGGTATCATTAACATTTTTTTACCCATTTTTCAACATGGTGGAAAAGAAAATAAAAATATAAATAAAAGCATTGATACAAAAAAAATCCAACCATCAATCCACGATGCCAAATAGTCTGCTTCTACTTCTAGATGTGATGCAGGAATTTTCACCAAAACTTCAACCCTCCAAGTCAAAAATCAAGCCACCTACAAACCAATATAAATGAGAAAACCTGCATGATAATGTTGTCGGTTATAAAATTCAGACCTAAGTTCGATTCTCAAACTCTTTCTTTGATTACTCTCTCGGCTTTGTTTTCTTGTGAGTCATACAAACAGTACAAACACACTAAAGAAATCAAATTACATCAATTTGAGCTTGAGCCATTGCTTGACCCATGTAGAACTATACGCACACAATTGAAAAACTATATCCTTGAAGATACTTCAATGCCCTCAACTCAAAATTATTTGACACCAAAAATTTCATCTCCCCCAATTCTCTATCAACCTCATCGCCCCAATCATACCCAATAACAACCTCGACCACGTACTTGACTACACCATGCATGGCATTTTCATTCAACCACACTATTATTATTATTATTATTATTATTATCATTTTGGTGCTCACTCGATACACATTTTCACGAAAAAAGTCAACATACCTAAAAATAAAATATTCTATTAATGCTCCCATTAAATATTTTATAAAACTCTTTACATATAAATAACATATATAACTCCGCCCTCTTTTAAACCAAACAATTACTTAATCAATCAACCTTCACTCATTTTTATATAAATAAAATTGAATGAAATGGTCATTTGGTAAAACTAATAAGGTCATTTAAGTCATTTTCACTCACATGATATCGTCATTTAGAAATTATTTAACCAGTAAACTTAAACTAACTTACAATCAGTGTAATTTAAATAAACTTAAATAAACCGTAAGGAAGTAAAGGCACTGGAGGGGTTTTTTTTTTCTTCATAAGTAAAAAAAAAAAAAAAAAAAAAAATGGAATTTTCATTACACCAATGATATTATATGAGTAATTTTAAATCACAAAGGGCCTGCTTGGCATCCGAAAATGTTTAGCGTTTCTATTTCGATCCGAACCATAAATAACATTTTTATTGTGGAGTGCGTTTAATAGTAATTGAAACATGTTTGGTATCGTAAAATTTGTTGCAAGAATTTTTTAAGCAAAAACATGAAAACATGTTTTGTAAAATAGTGTTGCAAATTTGAAAAACAAAATGGCTAGTTAAAAAGGTAAGTGTTTTCTTTTCTTTTCTTTTTTTCTTTCTTTCTTTTTTTTTTTTTTTTTTTGGTGAGTCTTGTTCATCGCTACAGTATTTTTTACGGAAACAACTGAAAATACCACCCCAATTTGGGGTTTCCTGGTTTCTGCCTCTTTTTTGGAAACAAACACAATATTTATTATTCAAATTGCAACAAAGTTACTAAACAAGTTTTCACTTTCCACAAAAATATAAAAAAAGCAAAAGCAGTTGCAAAACAGGGTGAAAATGAGTAGTGTTCAAACGTACTTACATTGTTTTTTGGGGCAATTTTGATATTTGACGATGAAAGAAAGCCTTCAGTCTCCAATGCCAAAAGTATCTTCTTTCTTGGACCCTGAAACAGGCAAAGTGAACAAAAAATGAGCAAGAGACTATAATTTTGGAGGGTGGGAGTCATATCTCTTTCTGATATTAACAAAAAAGAAAAAACGAGGAGCATATCCTAAATCACGACCCATGAATCGAATGATCCACAAATATAGAGACGCAGCCAACTAGCTGCTTAGAGAGGTGGTATCCAATTAAGCTAGTATTAATTTTTATCTAAACACATACTTCATTATAATGTTGACACCACTTGTTGTAGGGGAAAGCTCTGATACCAAATAAATGCAGAAGAAGAAGAGAGGAAAGATGGGAGCGAGGGCGAATATCGAAACAAAATCACTAAAACAACATGCTCGTTAATCATATAGCATCCAAATCAAAAGTACCAAAGCCTACACATATATATATTGGCAATGAAATAAATTCCTAACCAAACACAACTACCAGATAAAATCTTAAAATAAAAAAACTCTAAAATAACCCTAATCTTATCTCGATATGTATATAACTAATTTTATCAAATCTCTTATTTTATTTATTTTTGCTCATTCAAAAGTACATGCCAATCACGTACGGCTCGTGCATTCGAGTCACATCTTGTTCTTATCAGAGCGTTTCCAAAATCCCTAAAGTTTGATAATTGCATTTGCATTAACCAAAAGGCAGATACTCAAAAGTCACATCACGTGAAATTTTCACCAACTTTGATCTGGTTAGAAGAGTAATTAGTATTGCAAATGATTACACACATATCACGACTCAAAAAGAACAATCATCAACCAGGAGACGATATCGTGCATAATTTCAAACCCAATTGGAGAAAAAGTAGTTGTTATTTTGAGTCAAGAAATAAATTGTTACGACAAACACAGCAAACCCAAGAAACACTAATAGAAAATAAACACTCCACACACAAATAAAACAAAGATTTAGCATGATTCCGCAAAGCATAAATCCATGGTGAAGATCCGGTGAAAGGACTCTTCACTCTTTTATGCGATTTTCAATGTCTATCTATTATTCCACTCCAAACCATAAGCACCATTATATATTGGGCTACAATAAAGTACTAAATAGGGCTTACGATCCCCAAAAAAAAAAAAAAAAAAAAAAAAAAAAAAAACAGATAAAAGCTCAATCAAGGGGTTGCAACACGACCCGACACCAAATTCATGCCACAGCATCACAAAAACAATAAATAAAAATAAATAATAGAGGGTCCAGGGCACAACAAAGAATGCTGTGATGAAATGATATAACTAGTAAAGAATGGCATATGTAATAGCTTATAAGGATTACCCGGGGATAACCATTTCAACAAAAGTCAACTCAGATGGTTTCATACATGATGATCATAGAAGTTTGGACTAATAATAAGAAGCATGTGGTTTTAAATTCCAGCTGGAAAGCTAGAGGACCTTAAGGTTGATATACAGAGGGAAGAGTGTGAAAATGAGGCTTTAAACAGAACAGGAGAAAAATTCCCGTTACATTTTTTCTTTTGATAAGTAAAGTTTCAATAAAAAGCGTTCAACAAGGGAACGCGTTAAAAATTCCCATTACATAGAACCCTAAATCATTGGTTCTTCAATCAAAGATCACTATTAAAGTTAGTTTTAAAACATCCAAGGAGTTTAGATTTTCAATTCAAATGTAGGAAAGTCCAAGTCGATCGATGAAATGAAATAGACTAACTTATACTTTAAAACAATTCAAAACTATTGTATCTGACATTGTTATTTCAACATATGCACCCAAAGTAAAAGAATAGAGAAACCAAATGTGCAGAAGTAAAACAAAAACAAAAACAAATATATATATATCCATTCACAATAAAAGGAAGTCAAAACAGAGTCTGATCTCACAATTTCCGAAACTCAATTTTTACATATAAATGAAAAGGAATGCATAATAGCAAGTGTGACATTTTTTTCACCCCAAGCAAATGAATCACCCCAACCTCATGTCACAAACCCAATAAATGGTGTGAAGGTTCAAAATCAGGGTTTAATAGTATATGAGCTTGTTTGCACGGAGCTGAATTTGTTTCGAATTTCAAATCCCTGAAACTTAAAAACAATGTACACTTTGGAGTTTTATTTGCAAAATTGAGGTATACGAACTAATTGTGGTCGGCTGCTGGACACGACGACTCCAGTGAATGGTGCGAAGCTTGGTTGGGTTCGGATTGTAGTACTGGTTTAGTGTTGGAGTCTCGGAGATTATGGTATCGGTAATTGGAAGTTTTGTCAGAGTTGTGGCTGGTTTGTAATTCCGAATTAGGGCTTGAGCAAAGTAGTTTCCAGATGACGGCGTTGGATTCAGCAACAATTTTAGTGGACCAAATTGGAATCCAAATCAGAACCCAAATTGGAATCGTAATCGAATCACATAAATCTGTTTGAAACGAAAATATATATATATATGTTCAAAGGTATCAGATCTTTGATCCAGGTAGTGTGGATGGTGAAGAAGATGATAAGAGAGGGGCTTTTAAGAAGATGAAGATGTTGAAGAAGGAAGAGGCATCGAAAGTTGTGTTGCCTGAGGATGAGAATGTATAGATTAGGGTATGGAGTTGTAGGGAAAGACGTGCAATTGCCACTGGGTAAAGTCTACAAAACACCCTTGTGGTTTTGATTTTGTGTGGATTACACCCCTGTAGTTTATTTTGTATGTATAAATCCATGCTAGATGTCAAAATGTTGCAAGGAAGGCCTCCGATCAACTTTCCGGTAGCAAAGGGCCGTTAAATAGTCATGTGCCGGACATATGACTATTTTAAGAGCTGAAAACTCCAAAATAACCTCTATATATACCAAAAATGCCCCAACCCCATTGGAGAAATCGCCGCCACCACAACCGGGGACTCACCGGCCCAAATTTTCAACTAAATCGGCCAATTGATTGAAGACCCAATAGCAACAGGCAACACACCAAATTCAGCTCAGATGAACCACGGTTCCAATGATCTCCCGTCTGTGCAAATACAGAGAAAGCTTCATCTTCGGTACACCTCAGTCGATGCGAACTCCGGCGAAGACATACCCATTCCGGTGACGGCGACACAACCACGAGCTCCAAAACTACAACTACTAGCTCCGGTGACGGCGATTGAATCAGCCCACTCCAGTTCAGAAGCATCCAGCTTTTCCGGTGATCTTCATTCTGCATCAACAAGTCCGGTGAGCTGCAATCTCAAAGACCGAACAACCCCAGTGTGTCTTAGTGAAGGTGAACGACAGTTTTGGCTACAGGGCTATAGTAGCGAAACAATCCGGCAAGCTACGAATGCAATTTTAGCAAAACCTACAACGAGACCCATTTCGGGGACCATCCAGTGAGCTCCAAGACATGCATGCGACTCCGGTGAACAGGGACGGACCTACGTGCAAGTGAGGAAGGGGGGGCAGTTGCCCCCCCTGAATATATATATTTTTACTAATATACCATGCTATTTTTCTTTTTTCATTATATACCCATAAAATATTGCTAATCCCCCCACCCCTTCTGAAATTATTTGAAAAATTCAGTCTTGCCCCCCCTCACTTAAAGTTCTGGGTCCGTCCCTGCGGGTGAACAAACGGCAAACTCTATTCATCCTCTTCCGGTAAGCTTGGTTTGAAACAGCAACGAGTTTCGGTCCGGCGTGTTTCAGTTCCCATTCAGACCAAACCGAGAGTAAGATTATAGTTATCTCTTTGCCAACTGAGTCCCACAGTTAGAAGATTGCTCCTCATTGTTCAAAGATGACAAAGCCAAGAGTAACAATATCATTTTAGAATTTGGCAACAAGAGTATTGTTCCGAACAACGAGTAGAGTTATGGATCTGCTAGGGATGGCGGCGAACAAGGTCTAATAGACTGATAGTGAGTTGGAACGGTGGCGACAAGCATTTTTTGTCCAACAAACAGTGGGCTTTTTGTATTTTCACATTTCTTGTTATTGTAATTATTTTTAAAAATTATAGAGAGGGGTATTTAAGTCTATTTGGAGCTCCAGTACATGACAATGGACAAAAGGTACTAAGATGCACATATTCTTATGCAAAGGGGTGGTTAACAAACACAAGGGGGTTATACATACAATATAGATATTATAGGGGGTTTTCCCCACGCAACCCTTGCCACGGTGTCTGTTGATGCCAAGATTTTTTATGCTAAGCCAAATCACCAATCTTTGTATGCTAAGCCTAAAGGCCTCATGAGAGAGAGGATGGTGGTGATAGTTTGGTGACAGAGCAGTGGGGCGAGAGAGAGAGAGGCAGTGATAGGGGGTGGGCAATGGAGGAGGCATTAAAGAGAAATGTGTATAATATCTGTATTATTATTTTTTTTATTTTTATTAGTTGTTTTCAGTCCTTTATTAGGTGTTTTATGTAAGATCCCTATTATCATGGGATCACGTAGATAAGATCCCCGTAATCAAGGGATCACGTAGATTTTGGCATATTTCCTGTTTTTCTTTGATTTGGTTTCCTTTCTTTGTATCCTATTCTTGTATATAAATATAGCTTTTGGCTTTTGATTTAAGTAAACCAAAACCCAAAACTTCATCTTTTTGGTATCAGAATAAAACAAAAACCTTCGCCTCCCCATTTTCCTCCCCAACGCCGAACCCCTCGAGTAACCCTTTGTTTTTTACTCCTTTTTTAGGAGAATTCCGTTAGGTATTTTATAACCTAAGTTCTGGTGTTTTTTTTTCTTTGTGGGCTGCCGGTGTGTGTTCGGTAGCATATTTGGAGGAAGGCGCCAATTTTTCCGGCCTTGTTTTTTTCTCTTTCCTCCTGCTTTGACATGTGGACCAACCTTATTTTGGTACTATAACTGATTCTAGTAGGCAAAAGGACATTTAATCCTCGGTCCAACATACTTTATCTTCGGCACATCATACTCCGACATAGCGGGTTACTAGTGTGCTCTTAAATGGGCGCAACTTCGTATCTTGTTCCCGTTCTCTTCAACTCTATATTGAAGGAAAAAGGAAAACTGGTTGGCTTTTGGGTCTAGTCAAATAACTGAAAAAGACAGATACTAAATATATTGCATGGGACATGAACAAGTGCATCATTCTGGGTTAGATCTTCGACTCAATGGAGAAGCGTATCTATAATATGTTCATGTTTCACACTTCCGTTTTTCATCTGTGGCAAGCCCTTAACATGATGTATTCCCACTCCCGCAATGACGCTCGTATCTTTGAACTCTATCAGGAGCTTGCTCATGCACCTTTGAAGACACTCAAGCTGTCAATATCAGAGTATTTTGGGTACCTCCAGTCTAGGTGGGAAGAATTAGCACAGTATGAACCTCTCTCCGATTTCTCTGAAGAAGCTGCAACTCTTTTGGTTAAGAGACTGGACCGCCAGCATACCTACCAGTTTTTAATGGGTTTACGATCCGAGTATGATGCTCTTAGAACTCAGATCATAGACACCTCTCCTATGCCTGATTTATATAATGTTTTCGCTACTATTGACCATGAGGAGCATAGACGTCAGATCTCTCAGCCGGTAGCTTTACCATACACTCCAGTTGATCAGTTGGCTCTTGCTGCTAATTCTAGATTTTCAGAGGGAAAGGTTATTTGTCAACATTGTGAAGCCACGGGTCATGTAAAGGATCATTGCTTTAAGCTTCATCCCGAGCTAAAGCATAAATTTTCTCGCAATCTTCCTTCTGGCCGTGGCCGCACTGCCGCAGTAGCCGATACTATTTGTGGGTCCACAACTCCACAGATTGTTGACCCTCCTATTTCAACTCTTCCGAGACCATCTTTTTAAGACTTTAATCAGTTACAAGTCCCATATTGGTCAGCTTAAGGAGCAGTTCGGAGGTTTATCTACCAGGGTTGACCCTTCTACTCCACGGCTACTATAGCTACAGATACTCCTTCTATTTTTCATGTTAAAGCGGGAAAATTTACTTGGGGTCTGGATTCCAGAACCAATGATCATGACTGGTGAGTTGTCATTATTTTCTACTCCTGTTACCCCTGTAAATCAGGCTGTTAGTCTAGCCGATGGGTCAACCACCATTATTCGTAGTAAAGGAGATGTTCATCTATCCCCTGATATTATTTTGCCATATGTTCTTCATGTTCCTAACTTTGCATTTAATCTTCTATCTGTTAGCAAACTTGACAAATCACTCAACGGTGCAGTCATTTTCTTTCCTTATTACTGTGTTTTACAGGACCTGTGTTCGAAGAGGATTTTTGGCAAAGGATATGACCATGATGGCCTCTACTACTTTAGCGATCCTTTACCGACACCTCCTCCACTTGCTTCAAGCCTTCAAGTCTCTGTTCTTCCAGTTTCTAGGTCTTATGATTTTTCTTTTCAGACTTTAAATTTATGGCATGCTCGCCTTGGGCATGTAAACTTTCAGTATTTATGTCTTTTTTTCCTTTCATTAATAACGGCTTGTAAGGATAATAAGTTTCAATAAGAGATTTGTGAACTTTCTAAAAATACTAAAACCAGTTATATTTCTCATATGCATCATGCACCTAGTATGTTTGATCTCATACATTCTGATGTGTGGGGTCCTTCTCCTGTTACTGCTTTTTCGGAGAATCGTTATTATGTCACATTCATTGATGATTATTCCCGCTGCACATGGGTATATTACTTAAAAAGAAATCTGAAGTTTTTCCGTTATTCACTCAATTCCTCAAATGATCAAAACTCAATATAAAACTGTTGTTATGAATATTAGGTCTGAAAATGGTCATAAATATGTTTCCAATGAGTTTCGGTCTCAACTTAAGCAACAGGGTATTCTTCATCAACTTACTTGTCCATAGACCCCCGGAAAGAATAGCGTGGCAGAGCGTAGAAACCGCAAAATAATGTCAGTTGTTCGATGTCTTTTAAGTGGTATGAATGTGTCTAAGTCATACGGGCACATAGCGATACTTACAACTACTTTTCTCATTAATCGTACCCCTAGTAGAGTATTAAATGGTAAGGCCCCTTTACAAGTGCACCTTTCATGGGCATACCCCTTTTATGGTTCTAACACTATCTTCTACTCCTGATCAAAAGGCTTCTCCTCTTGCTTGTCTTCTTCCTATTTTTTAAGAAGAGTCTTTTGTTGTGGTTTCCTCACCCCCTTTGCAGGTCTATTCTCACCGCCCTCGTGCTCCGCCTCTACTGCCTTCATCCTCCTCAGATACAGGTTCAGGTACATCTCCTCTCTCTCCTTCACATTTCCCTGACCCTGTTCCTAAGTTTCGGTATCCCACTCGGGACCACAAACCCCCTGCTCGATTTGGATTCGCTTGTAGTACTGATCATCCTATTCCGTAGTATATCTCTTATGATGGTCTTACAGAGTCTTACCAACCCTTTCTAGGCAAACTTGATTCCATTTCAATCCCCAACAATATGTTTAAGGCTATCCGGAATCCCAATTGGATGTCTGCTGTGATGGTAGAAATGTATGTTTTGCAGCAAAATGAAACATGTGAACTTGTATCTCTCCCTCCTGGTGAGAAGACAGTTGGTTGCAAATGGGTATTCAGTGTTAAATATCTGGTTGATGGTTGTATTAATCGGTATAAGGCCCGTTTGGTGGCCAAAGGGTTTACTCAGATTCCTGGTAAGGACTTTAATGATACCTTCGCTCCAATGGCTAAATTGACCTCAGTTCGTTTTCTTGTCTCCCTGACTGCTTCTCACAATTGGCCTCTTCATCAGCTTGATGTGAAGAATAATTTCCTTAATGGTGATCTTCTTGAGACTATTTATATGGATCATCCACCTGGTTTTCGGGCTGAGGGTGAGTATACTGGAAAGGTTTGTCGATTGCGGAAGTCTTTACATGGGTTAAAACAATCTCCCAGAGCTTGGTTCAGCCGCTTAAGTGATGTAATTCTATCCAAGTAGTTTGTTAGATGTCATTCAAACCATACATGTTTTATCCACCGTTCCTTTACTGGTCGATGTATAATTCTTCTTGTCTATGTTGATGATGTCATCATTACTGGCAATGTTATCCCTGGGATTACTTAAGCAAAGCACAATTGGCTAAAGCTTTTGACGTGCAAGACATTGGGCATCTAAAATATTTCTTGGGAATTGAGATTGCTAGATCTAAGAAGGGTGTCTCTTTATCGCAAATGATGTATGTCTTGGATCTACTTCCAGACACGGGTTTTCTTGGGTGTAAACCTGCTTCCACTCCTATGGATCCTAATCTGAAGATCTTGACCGAGTCTGGAGATCTCCTTTTTGATCCCTCGCAGTATCAGCGCTTGGTAGGAAGATTGATTTATCTTACCAACGCCCGTCTTGATTTGACTTTTGCGGTTAGTATGTGAGTCAGTTTATGCATGCTCCTCGTACAACTCATATGGATGCGGTATATCATATTCTTCATTTTCTTAAGTCCTGTCCTGGACTTGGATTATTCAATTCTTCTAGCGGGGAGGTTGGGCTATCCTGTTCTAGTGATGCAGACTATGTTGGGTCCAAAACTAACAAAAGTTCCACATCTGGCTTCTGTACTTCCTATAGAGATCATCTTATATCCTGGAACAGTAAGAAGCAACCTGTAGTTTTAAGATCTTCAACAGAGGCTGAGTATCGTGCCATGACCCAGGGTACTTGTGAGATTCTCTAGCTTCGATCTTTCTTGGAGGAGCTAGGGCTACGTGAAAAACAGTCCCCAAACTTGTTTTGTGATAATAAGTCAGCCATCATACTTGCTTCAGATTTTGTTCTTCATGAAAGGACTAAACATATAGAGGTGGACATTCATTTTATGAGAGAGAATGTTCGTTCGGGAATTATCAAGTTGTGCTCTATTCGGTCCTCTAATCAGTCAGCGGATGTGTTCACCAAATCCGTTGGTCCATCTTTGTTTCATTCCTCGATTACCAAGCTAGCTTGAGGGAGTGTTAAAATATCTGTATTATTATTATTATTATTTTATTAGCTATTTTGTGGGATCACGTAGATAAGATCCCCGTAATCATAAGATCACGTAAATAAGATCCCCGTAATCAGGGGATCACGTAGCTAAGATCCCCGTAATCAGAGGATCATGTAGATTTTGACATATTTCCAGTTTTTCTTTGATTTAGTTTCCTTTCTTTGTACCCTATCCTTGTATATAAATATAGCTCTTGGCTCTCGGTTTGAGTAAGCCAAAATCCGAAATTTCTTCTTTTGATATATATGTATACGTGTGTGATTTAGTTAAATTTTCATTTCGTAAAGTTAATAAGGTCATTTTTATAATTTTACTTCATATAAGGGTATTTTTGGAACTTAAAATAAACCCCTTTGAATGACATAGTTGATTCACAACGGGTGGTTAGGGTGATGTTGTAAAACCTCAACGGAGGTCGACCACAATTTGTCAACTAGTTTCTTCTGAAGAATATTTCGAAAAACCTCTGGAGGGTACCTTACACTAAATTCTTATTTCTGCAAGCCCTCAATCAGCCAAGACAAAGTTTCTAAAGGTGCAATGGTAAACAGAGAAAAACTACATATAGTACTTATAAAAATTTTAAAATAAAATAGAATAAAAACACTACATATAATAGGGTTAGCCTAGTTGAATTCACCTCTGGTAATCCTAAAGCCTCGAGATCATCATCAGTTAGGCGTACCAGAGTGGCCATATCAATCTGCAGAAAAAGCATGACCCATCAAAATAGTGAAGGAATTTCTTAAGGTAATGGTAAAACCAAAGCCGGTACATAAATTTGCAGTAAACAAAGGAAAGCTTTAAAATTGACGCACTTCCTCATATTTGAATATCGTTGAATAATTTTCAAGACCCAACAGTAGCAAGAAACCATCCACCAACTGAACCTACACAAAATATGTACCCCTTGTAAGTACAAAAACACACCTCATATTCTGTATTTAACCCCATTATCCATATTTAATTTTTATTAAAAGTCAGTCATTAGCTAAGATGATGTTTAACATACACTCTGCCAACCCAAACCCCCAAAACAAAAAGGGGAAAAGAATCTGCAGCTTCACTGCCAAGTTCAACCCTTCAGGGTGAACAACCAGCATAAGATTAGGCGATTGGTATGAGAAGTGCTAAAAAAATTGACTATTTCCAGAGAGACAAGTTTCATGGGAAAGAAATAGCCCGCATTGTATGATCAGCATATAATAACTATGAAAGGAAAGTGAACTCTTAAATACCTATCCAAAACAGTTCGAACTCAGTAAAAAAAAAAAAAAGAAGAAGAATGAAATTCAATATGAATCGCACCGTAAGTACCAAGGGCAGCAACCTAGTAGCATCTCATCTACCTCCCGAAGTGAAAGGTGAGGGTTCAAGTCCCCAAAGGGGCAAATGGGTATGCAAGTTTCTTGCTAAGGAATAAATCGCACCAGAAGAGAGAATAAAAATTACTAAATCCATTAAATTGAGTGGCATTTCTTGCCACTACCCAAGGGGAAGGTGAGGTCGCAATTCCCGTTGGGACACTAATGTTTGTCTTACCCAGAAGTGAAAATGAAATAATAAAGATTTAATTAATTGCAAAACACCCAAAAAAATTAAGAACTCATTCTTTGAAATGTAGTAAAATGCAACAACAGAAGAAATATTTTGAAAAATGGAAAACAGTATGATTTAGGTATTTCTAAAAACTGAGGCTGAGAAGACGACTCGTTTTTCTAGCAGCTTGACTGACCTCAGGTACTGACTCCAGCTTTGATGGATCAGTGTTCACTGGCTGCATATGCATGTCAACATCAAGATCCTCAAACTGCTCACCCTGAACATTAGGACCTCCTGAAATAAAAATCTTTCCACTTTTGAGTTCTTTGCTGACATTTGATCAAAGCACCAAGTACAAAAGGTTGCTATAATTTATTATTGTTATTTATAATTATAATGAACATATATATAAGTCAAATACAATCATTAGCCGCAGCCTTTAGATGAATGCAACTGCATATCATCAAACAATGCATACTTGTCCAGATTTCAGACTCGTAGGCATATATACGCCTGCAAAACAAATGGCATTGAGTCAAATAAATTTTTTTTTTAAAAAAAAAAAAAAGACAAAAAGATAGAAGGCTTTTTGCCTTGACATATAATGGCACTCCACCTTACATACTAAGGAAACGAAATGTGGAAAAAGGGAAGTGCGTCTAAGAGATTTTATTACTTAATGGCTCACAACTGTAGAACAGGTATAATTTATATATGTATTACTCAATGTATATAGATCCTTATGCCTCAAATAAAAATGTCATGCTTATTAGTGTTCCAGAAGCAATAGGTATGATGCATAAATGAATACACACCAGATAAACATCAATTGTAACGACAAACGCAACGAACCAAGAACAAATCACGAATCACGGAAGAAAAGTAAGTATGCCACACACAAAGAACATAAAGATTTATGTAGTTTGGCACAAATTATGCCTTGAAAGATTTCACTATGTGAAAATCAAGAAATTATAAGATTCAGCCCCCAAACTCTAACTCTCGTTCTCACTCTCTTTCGCGTGACTTTCACTGTCTCGCTCTGTCCCACTCCAAACACTAAACGCCCTTATATACCAGGCTAAAAGAGAGATTTAAATAGGTTCCACGACCTGCCTGTGTATCATGGGTCAAAAAATTTTATTCCCACGCAGAACTCACTGTTCAGGTCAAAACAGAGTCACAGCAGGACCCAAGCTGAAACAAAATTCGGGCCACAACAGCAATATTTGACAATTTGCTAATCAAATTAAATTTCTTTGAATGAAAAGTATTATTGGAAGAATAACACAGCCTAATAAGGATTCATGGGAGAAAAGGTATCTGATGCAAATCAATAAGGGTACTTTAGACAGGATTGAGGCAGTCGATGGTGCCTCGGAAAGTCAAAGAGTCCTTGTTTTACTAAGCTTTGGAATCACTAAGTATACTTAGGAAAGTGGTAAAGACTTATTAATGTCGTGTGGAAATTTTAAGAGTCATTCTAGGAAATGTCAACTGTCAATACGAGTAGAATTATAAAAGGACAGACTTCTATAACTCTTGTATTCAAGTCTTTTATTAATATTTTTAAGTTATTATCAGTTTATAAACTGTTCTTCAGGCTTTTCCAAGATTTACCTTTAGAAATCCAGGCCCCAACGGTGATTGGAGTATTCCAAGTCTCCCTTACAGTTGTAAGAAGACTTGTTTCATTTCCGTTTGCTTCAAGTGGTATCAGAGCCTTTCCTATAAGATATTGTGGATCTATGGCTAGGCAATGAAGTATGATAGCCACAAAAGATGTTCAAAATCTGCAACATCAAATTTCTCGATTGAGCACTGTGTTAGAACAAATTTCTCCTCTGAATCTGGTCATTATGAGAGAGAGGAATCAACAAATGAATGCATATGAATACGAATATTGGACAGAACAGACTACTGGAAAAAGAAATCAGCAGCATAAGTCGTCTCGAACACCAAAACAAAGGGACGCCAAATCACAAAACACTTAACAGCAGTGGTGAACCATGCCCAATAGCCTGAATTTTGGTCCTACACTGGTGAAGGTTCAGGATACAAGTCTGCCAAGTTGCCAAGAGATGTAGACAGCCACAATATTTACGAAAAACAACTCTTGAATGAGGAAGATCTTGGGAATTATGTTGACATCTACTCAACTTTTGATGAATCTTTCGGAGGTGTAGATGAAGAAAATCGGATCTTAGGGGTGCATTCAACTTCCCATCTTCCAGAAATTGACCACAATGAAGAGGAATGTGAAGAAAAAACGAAGGCGGAAGAGGAAAAGTCTGAAGAAGCAACCGACAAAACCAACAACATGTTAGAAACTGAGGTTCATGAGGACAATGAAGCAGGTAAGAGAATAGAGAAATCTAAGGAATCAACCGGCAACTTGTGTAAAGTTAACGAAGTTGTCATCATTCAACCTGTGGATCATGGATTTGATAGTAAAAATAATGAATCTGAGCAAGACTTTGCTTCTCAAGGTGGGCAATCTGAAGATAAAATTATTGAACTTCCAGTACCACGTGGTGCAGGAAGCATTAAGGCAGATTTAAGTTTCTTGAATAATTTGGCCAAAACTGAAGCTTCTTCATTCATGGATTTGACAAATGATGGATTCCATATACATGACTTGATTTGGGATGAGTTCTTGGCACGACATCCAGCTAGGAGTAGCTCCAATGAAAAAATCATAGTAGTTCAAGGATTGGTTCATAATTTATCTTCAAGGAAATTATGGAAATTTCACAAGAGAGCTCTGAAAGTTTGTTCGGAGTAATTCTTTGTCACAGTAAATTGTTTCAAACTCGAGGTTGAGTTTTATTCAACGAGGAGGGTCTGATGCAAATCATTAAGGCAGTCAATGGTGCCTTGGAAAGTGCCTCGAAAAAAAGTCAAAGAGCTGTCCTTGTTTTACTAAGCTTTGGAATTACTAAGTATACTTAGGAAAGTGGCAAAGACTTAAATGTTGTGCGTGAATTCTAAGATACATTCTAGGAAAAGTCAAGTGTCGCTAATAGTTGTAGTATAAAAGGACAGACCTTTATATCTATTGTATTCAAGTCTTTAACAGTATCAATTTGAGTTATTATCAGTTTATATTCAGGCTTTTCCCAGATTTTCTTTTAGAAATCTAGGCTCCGACGGTGATTGGAGTATTCCTAGTCTCCCGTACAGTTGTAAGACCGACTTGTTGCATTTCCGTTTGCTTCGGTATCACAAGTTTGCAGTTGCATATCTTTTAATAATTCTTGCAACAATTTGTTATTTAAAAGACACTTTTTATTTTTATTTATTATTTCTTGATAAGTAGAACACTTCTATATTTTTTATTTTTTATCTATTCGTCATAATATGTGATAGTTTAAGACACAAATGTTAACCGTACCCAAAAACCCAAGTTCCACATGTTTCAATATGAATGCTATCATTTTTCAGCTGCATTCGCTGACAGTCGGCAACCTACTTGGCCCACAAAAAATTGGCAATCACATATTGCGACTATAAATGAAGATTGCATTGATTCCTTATGCAATGGATGAAAGGAACTCGAAATGTATGGTTTTTGGGTCTTTGGGTATGGTTTAGAAACATCTGAATTGAAGTTCCACTCATAATTCTTCTCTACTTGATATATATTACTGCTCGCCTAAATCCCTAGTTCAACAATGGGAAACCTCGAAAGGCATTCTTCACCAAGAATTAAACCTTCCCATTGACCGTATTCAGCATTCAGTAAGAAGTTACTTCCTTTAAAATTTGAACCTTAGAAGGTACCAAACATAAATGAATTGGAGAATAACTCAATTAGTTCAAACATCTAAGACTGGCTTCCACAACAACAACAACAAAAATACAAATACAAATACTTACTGGGAGTCCACACAAAGTGATGTTAAATTTGCCGGAGCGAGGTTTTCTATATTCAAGGCGCAGCGACCTGACCACAATGTTGAAAGCTCCATGTCATCAGAAACTTGGACAATCAAGATGGAAACATATTGAAAGTTAGAGGGGTCAACATTGAAACCAGTCTTCATCATACAAAATATTTTGTTTCTCAAATGAACAAAGCAACCAGAGAATGTGGAAGCACAATCCACTGGTAGATCTTTAAAGTCCAATCCTCTAAAATACACTGGAACACCAATAGATTGAATGATTCCATCATTCTGAACGACTTGATATGCAATCAAGTTATAATTACATCCGAAAGTGTACAAATAACCATCAACATATTCAGCCTTTCCTACCATCAAGTAATATAACCCATTCTCCTTTTCCTTCTTGACGACCTGCCAGTTCTTCATTTTACTTCCGACCGTGTAATAATAGAATTCTGAGTTACCATGAATAAAATCATGGACTGAAATGAGAAAACTGTAGTAAATGACTGCGTAGCCAGAGATAATTCTGGGTAATTTTCTGTCCATTGGATACTCAGGTAGTTCGCTATACCAAGGAGGAGGAACAAGAGTAGGAAGTAAACTTTCGAAACACGGAGAGCGTATTTCGTAGGACGAATACAAAGTACCCCCAGCAAGCACAAACCAACCAGCAGGGTCAGCCATCACTAGGGGATAAGGTTTTGGTGCTTTTGGCCACGGCAATTCGAAAACTTCTTTGGTATTTGTATTGAAACGAATGGGTTTAAGCTGCAAAAACCTGTCATGCATATCCCAATGTGAAGCCATCAAGACCATGTTCGATCCTAAGATATCACAACCAACCGGTGAATATACTCTTTCTTCATCTAAGCAACGAAACGCTTTCTGCACAGGACTAACTCTTGCAATTTTAGAACCAATTTTTCCTCCTACTCCAAATTTGATTTCATAAATTGCAGCACAATATGGCCCACCACCAAAAGTAGCAACCAAAAACAACGATACTCCCCCATCAGCCATCTTTAATTGCCTTCCTCTTCCTTTGCTCTGTACCGGGCTCTGAACGTTGCAGGAGAGACTCTCTCAGATTCGTGTAGAAGACGCCTTTTAGGGTTTTTGGTGCCTCGCCCTCCCCCGCCTCCCCGCCCCCGATTATAAATAGTAAGGAATGCGTGTTTTAGTTAGGTCTGAAAGGACATTGATACCCTTGTCAACCCTGTTAAGTACTAGTAAAATATTTTTCCAAAACTAATCCTCCAAAAAAAAAAAACAAAAACATTTTCCAAACCCATCAATTTCACTGTGTGCGCTTTGCCTAGAAACTTTTTTAGGCTCAGTTTTGTAGAGTGAAAATGGGAGGAAATGGAAGGAAAGGTGACGATTAGGTAAAATTGGTGGAAGGAAAGGAGAGGAAAGGGTTTGGAGGGTTAACACAAAACTTCTACAGTAGATTTCTTAACTTCCCAAAAATAGGCGAAAACGGAAAGAAAGGAAAGGAAAGGAAAGGCTTGGTGAGTGATTTTTTATGCAAAATTTACCCTTGATTACACACAAAACCCATACGTACAAGTTAGCAGTTGCAGAGAGAAAGGGGGGCAAGCTTGAGAGTTGAGAGAAAGAGGGCCGGTTGAAGCTTGCGAACGGCGAACCCGAATTGGAAGGGTGATGGAAACTGAAAGATCGATATGACTGAAATTGGGTTTTGATTTTTGAACAATCTGAAATGATGCCGATATGGGTTTTGAAGTTTTGATTCTTGCAGACAAATATATAAACTGAAATATATGGGTTTTGAACTTCTGATTCTTGTATTTGCAGTTGCACAGAGAGAGAGAGAGAAAGGGCAAGTTCAGAGTTGAGGACGAGAATAGAGATGGAGGCAGGGAGGCTAAAATGATTTGCCCTAAAAATATTTTATATATATATATATATATATATATATATATATATATATTACATACATTTTGTTATAGGTTTTTTTTTTTTTTTTTTTTTTGCAAATATTACATACTTAAATTTTTAATTTTTTTTAAAAAAATTAAAAGGTATAATAGTAAATTTACTAAAATACTTTCATTTCCTTTCTTTTCCCAAACATGATCATTATCCTTTCCTCTCCTTTTATTCATTAACAACCAAACACGACAAGAGGTTAAAATTATCCTTCCCTTCCGTTTCCCTCCTAACTAATGTTATCCTCCGCTTTCAAACCCACCATACCAAATATAGCGTTAGGGTTTTTGGTCCCTCCTCCTCCCATGATTATAAGGGTACTAATAAGGAATGTCTCGCCTTGTGTGTGATTTAGCAATGTCTGAAAGGACATTGATGGTAGCAAATTCCTAAATTTTGTTTATTTCATGTTTTGGGCATAATATTTGTTGGCCAGAGTTTATTAAAGAATTTAAATTTCTACGCATTCAAAGTGGGTAATGTAAAAAAATTCCAGTTTGTTTGAACGTAAAACAAATTTTGAATTCTCAATAATTTTTTTTGGTATTTTGGTATTTTCCGGTGTTTGGCAATCTAAATTCAATGAAAATCTTGTACAAAGTAAAACATTTTTCCAAAGCTTAACCCAAATCAAAGAAAATGTAAGAAATGCAGAAGAAGAAAAAAATGTGAAAGGGTTCTGGAAATATTGAACAACTAGAAGTGCATGATTATTTCAATTTCTTCTAAAATTGATCTTGAAATGAAGTGACTTACTATTGCAGTAAATGTTCTTTTTGTCTTTATTTTTTTTCTTGTTTACTTCTGGTGTTACATTGGAATAATTCTTTTTGAGTGTTTATTAAAAGTTGGTAGATGTAGTTAACCTGAGAGGATCAGAACTCATAATACGTTTTCGCTAGCAGCAACTCTAGTATTATTATTATTATTATTATTATTATTAGTTTTTTTTTTTTTCTAGGCCAGTTTTTATATTAAACTTTTTTTTGTTATTCAGGCTAAATAAATCATTATGAGGGAGAAATTAGAGATGACCTTAATCAGAAAATCAAGGCAGGAAATGTGTTAAATGGATGAGTGCATGTATTATCGTGTGATAGGCCTATTCCTTTAAAATTGAAATAGGAGTTATGTAAAATAACTATTAGGCCAACAATACTTTATGGTACGGAACGTTTAACTTATGCATATAGTGTGGCAGAAATGCTTAACGTTTAGAAGATGGCTGGAATAGAGCCAACTAGAGATAAAATGAGAAAATGTAGATTAAGATGGTTTGGACATGTTCAATGAAAACCTTTAAATACGTCGGTTAAAAAAAGTGACATAGCTTACATAGGCGTCGGTTAAAAAAAGTGACATAGCTTACATAGGGGGTAATAATATTAGGGGACCAAGAACACCAAAGTTAATATGGATACAGATAATAAAAAACGTTTTTTTCGATAAGTAAAAATTATATTAGAAAAGCGTTCAAAAAGGGAACGCATCCCTAATACACAAAAACGAAAGACCTAAGGACCAACAGAGTCTAAAAGATCAAATAAATTATCAATCAAGGAGTAAGCACTACCTCTTACATAACATAAAAGAGAACGAAGAATATAAGATTTTAAGTTTGCTAAAGACGATTTCTGTCCTTCAAAATTTCTGTTATTACTTTCTCTCCAAATACACCAACAAACACAGTGTGGGACAATCCTCCAAAAATCACGAGCATGACTAGTAAACAGGGCATCTTCTCCAAACGTTAATTAATTGAACAGAATGTGTGATACCCTTCGATTCTAGAGTCACGAGTGATCAAGTCTAAGCACAGATCCGAGGGATATCAAACAATTAATATGTAAATAAGAAAGAATACAAAAGAACTAAAAATAAAATAATAAGCTGAAAAGAATTCTAAATACGAAAATCCTCCAAAACATTATAGATTTATATAATTTAATCTTCCAATCCGTACAACTCAGGAATCCATCCAGTGGACCCCTAATAATCTCAAATGAACAATAAATTATAGAACCAAAATCCAAAACTAAAATAAGAAAGGAAATCCTATGTAGTCGGAAGAGTGAGTGACTGTATCTGCTTCATCACGATCAAACTCTAAGCCTGGTACTGACGACCACCTAAAAAAATAAGAGTGGGTCAGGCCCACATGCAAGTTACATCCTACTTCAATCCATACATAAACCCGATACGCAAATACATCTTAGATAGTTCGACAATAACTAAAATAGTCCATATAGATATAGGTACACACTATAGGACGCTCACTAGCCTATAGTGTAGTTCAGCCTGAACAGAAGGTAACATATAACTCACACATTACGGTGTGCATGTGCCCTAGACCTATCAGGGAACATCAGTAATATCTAGTTACACACCCTAACCATGATCCTGAGACTCAAGCTCATATCACGGTACCATAGGTATATATATAAATTTTTTCCTAATACAGAAAAATAAAACAAACATCCGATATGTCGTTCAGCTGTTTTAGTTGACAAGACATGCATCCATGTAGGATTTAACTATTTTAGTTAATCCATTCCGTATGTATGAATAGATAGGACTTATCATTTTGATCTAATCCATCCCTAATATGCCACTGTCCCATACTGGTGCATATCATGTATATGATCCATAAATGATGCACACATATTTGAACATCAATACATCCAAGGCCAAACATAATAGAAATCAACTATAGACAAGATCCTATTCTGCATCCAATATATGATTATAATCACAAAACATCTGTTTAAATTGCTAAAGTAATGATAAACAATTTAAACCATCCATATCCATCCAGTTGACAAAACAGAAATTATCATCGTTTATCAATTTAAAAAAAAAAAAAAATCCATAGCATGTTATAATGAAAATCAGAAGTATTAACTGAGCACATTATATGAAAGTCCGAAAGTATTCCCCTAATAGTTCAATTCGTTTGTTGAAGTAAAACTAGCAATTAAAACCTGCACAATCCTTGACGGCATGCCAATTAATGTTTAAATTTCATGACGTCCCTTTAATCCTCAATTATAAATCCTGTGCCAAATATAATGACACACAGAAATGTACACGGAGTACATTATATGGAACTCCAAAAGTATTCCCATACTAGTCCTTTTAGTTTGCTAAAATAAAACTAGCAACTAAAATTTCTACAACTCCTGACAGCATACAACTTAGTATCTAAAGTTCATGATGTTTATAACCATATCCTAAACCAACCTTCTTGTGTTTATTAATTTATATATATCAGTTATATAACATCCCATAAGTAATTTCATACCAGTCCGTTTAAGTTGCTAAAACAAACTAGCAATTTAATTCTTCCTCCTTCCTTGATAGCATGCATATTATATGTTTATATTTCATGATATCTGCTTAAGATTAGCACACTAGCTTATACTAACTATTTTAAGGTTTTAACAGGTTAATTTTAAACATTTAAAACCTCCCATAACTTTCAGAAATTACCTTTAACCCCTGGAACCACTAAAACCTCATAAAAACACCCCGTAGGGGTGCACCATCAAGGGAGCCGGCTCTCATGCTTCCAGAGCTGGATCTCCCTCATGGAGAGCCGGCTCTCTCACCTAGGGAGCCAGCTCCCTCCCTTAGGGAGCCAGCTCTCTCCCTAAGATCCCCGCTTCGTCCTTTGTCTTCTTCGCTTCCAGCAAAGTTCCAACTCTCTGTCTCAATTGTTTTTAAACTTCTTAGGATCCAATTTATATCCAAACAGTCCTAGATACTCCTCACATTCCATTATGAATTAATTTACAAAAGTTTAAAACCTAATCGAAACAGTTTATGTAAGAAAAACAATTTCAGTTACAAAAACGTAAGACAGTTTTCAGCCTATCTATCGTGCATAAACATCCATTTTAAAATTAACTTAGATTCCTGGAGACTATCCAGAATGCGCAGAATACAAGTTTACAGGAAGGAGATAGAATAAAACTTGCCTTTAGATTTCGGTTTGAAACCTTTCAACGTCGTCTCTAAATTCTCCGACGACTGCTGACTACCGGTAAACCTCCTACTGCTCGGTTTCAATCCCACTAGCCATCCATTCCTTCCTCCATGGTATGACCTTCAGTCCACGGCTGAAATCCTAACTGGTGGTTCTCACAGTTTCCTCTCAAGCTTCTTTCTATTTTTCCCTTCAAGAACCA